AGTTGAGATCCATAAAATCAGATCAAAATGAATTTTGGTGGTAGATAATGAAGACTGCTGATCTGGGAATTAGATTTTGCTTTCTGTGCTAAGCTGGTAGATTTTAGGTTATGCACTGAAAGGATCCTGTTTTCTCTGCTTTTTACCTGAGTTTCAACCTTTTCAGAAGAACGTATTTCAAAACCATCATTGTTCCTGAAAAACAGCTGCTTCAGATGGGAAATCAGTACTCCCATGTGTTACGTAGAAAGTGGTCCTTGCTATTTTTACTACAACTTTCTGACATACGGAACAGTCCATTTGAAAATGTAAAGTAATATTCTGCAAGTCTAATCAAGGAATTGTATTTCAGGTTGAGAATACTATCCTTTTCTGTACTTGGAAAATTACTGTGAATGTTTTACAGTGCAGAAGTTCTGAGTGAGAGGGCTGGGTTCTGGGCCTTTTAGTGTCCAAAGGGGGCCTATAAGAAAGAAGAGGACAGACTCTTTAGCAGAGTCTATTGTAATAGGACAAGGGGAAATGGTTTCAAAGTAAAGGAGGGAGGTTTAGATTGGATACAAGGGAGAAGTTTTTTACAGTGAAAGTGATGAGGCACTGGAACAGGTTGCCCAGAACTGTGGTGGATGCACTGTTCCTGGAGTCATTCAAGGACAAGGTAGATGGGGCTCTGAGCAACCTGATCAAGCTGTAGGTGTCCCTGTTCATTACAGGGGATTTGGACTAGTTGACCTTTGAAGGTCCCTTCCAGCTCAAATAATTGTATGATTCTGTAAGTAGAATCTGTAAGACAGCTACATTGCGGCACTGAAAACACTGTAATCTTTGTCTGACAAGTCATGAAATGACTGGAAGATTTTTCATTCATGTATGGTTGGGTAGAAGACTAGACTTCACTGTATATGATATAGTATCTGATTCATCCTTCACTAGCAAGCCCCCCCACTTGTCTACCAGATTAAATAGCCCTGTCTGACCACACTGATCTACTGGGCATCTATTTTAACAGCATTGAGATCTAAAGATCTATGTGATTGAGCTTATGACACTGCTAATGTGACACTGACATTAAGAAAAATCATGCAATTGCAACTTACATAAAGCTCCCAAGAATAGGAATTTAACTGCTTTTTTTTTTCACTAATTATAATTTTTTTCATGTGTTACTGGGATAATACTTTATAACATTGCTTCATCTATATTGTTGTAAACAGTCTGATGTTGGGGACTGTCTTGCTGCGTGTGCTCAGTGAGGCCTCAGTAGGGACTCTTATATGCTACTCCAATGTTAAATATGATTTATGGGACTCTTTGATGTTTTGTATTAAGTTTTTTTGATGAGAAACTTGAGCTACATTGATAAGTGCAACTCAGAAATAGTGTGGTTTGTTTCCTTTAAGCAGACATGAAATTTAATTATTTTTTACAGTTACTTTAGTGGTAGATAAGCATGTGCAACAGTTGTCCTGAGCATAGTAGGAGACTACTAGAAAATATGGACCCAAACCAGAGGAGGGAAAGGAGGCAGCAAAAACAAAGAAACAAACAAACAAAGTGTGAGCAATATTGTAAGGCTTATTCGTGGAAAAGGCCAAACCTTTCAGTCTCCTTCACAATTGTAAGTTGTAAGGATACTTGATATGTGCAAATCCATGTTTAGTTCTTTTGCAAGTATTTAATGCAGCTTTGCTGAACTGAACTGCGTTGGAAAGGGCTGCAGATGGCAGCCACCCTTCTTTTGAATGTTTCTGAAGGTTTATTTTTGAGTATAGATAGTACAAGAATGGATTTTCAATTTGAAAAGCCTGAAAGGAGTATATTTTGTGCCTAAGTCATGTTTATGTGTGGGTGTGAGCAGAAGTTCTTGGTTTTTTCCAGACATCTCTCCGGACAAATGTTAAGGATCTTCAGAGCAGGTTTTGCAAGGTCAGTATTTTGAGCAGGTAGGGTAGTAAGTCTTTGTAAGCTTCATTTCTGCACGCCCTTAGCTGAGTTCAGTGACAAAAAGGAGTGAGCTTACCCTAGGATTTTAAGAGCACAGATTTCTAATAGATCTTGGCAGTTCAAAGGCTAAAGAAGCATTTTAATCTTGTGCCCACCCAGTCTCTATACAAATGTAAATATGTCTGTCTTTAACAATTTGCCAAGAAATGTGGTTTTAATTTGTTAGCAGCAACCCCACTCCCTGCAGCTCTTTCAGAGTCAAGTCACAAGTCTGGCGGTGCTTTGACGTTTTTCTCTGTCGTGGTGTCATTGTTTATATGATGTCTGCTTCTGCTGTCCTCCTTTTTATGCCTGGAATATTTTTCTTTAATTATTTCACTGCCTAAAAGGAATTTGGGATTACTAGACAGGATGAGAACAGATTAGCTTTTTTTTCTTTCTTTAACAAGTTCTGAAGTTCCCATAGGAAATAAATAGTATTCCCAAAACAGACAGGATTTTTTATTTTTCTTAATTAACTAAAATAATTAAGTCTAATAAAGAAAATAAAGGAAGTATCACCAGTAATGGCTGAATCTCTTAGTTGTTTATGGAGTGCCCATTGTTGTTATTTGTGACTCTTTGCCTTCTATTGTGGACTTATTCCAGCCTTAGGGAGTTTACATCACTCCTAATAGCAAAAGGCTCTTTGGTTCCCACAGAGTTTTTCAAAGACTGACTCATATGCCTCATGTTAATTGTTCAGCTCTCAAAATACAGCACTTACAGGGTGTGGTTCTAAGGGGAAAATCTACTGTACTTAGAGGGCATGTTCAGAAGTGTTTCACATATAAATCATTTTGATTATTTTTTTAATACCTTAACCCTTTTCTGTCACTGTGTTGTGCGATAAGTTACTGGCAGACAAAATGAAAGGTTGATGATGGCACAGCAAACGTGTCTGCCCTTCCATTCTGAGCCATTAACTTCCAGTCTGACTCAACTCACAGCGGAATGGCTTTGTTATCTCCGCCTCTCTCTGGGGTCTGCTCTTCACACCCTCGACTGCACATTCCAGGCAGCAATCGTTGACTGCTTATAATGGGATACAAGTTAGAACTGGGGTTTATTGCTTACCTGCAGTAGTAAGTATGTGTGGACAGCAGCCGTCCTCGATCCTCCCCTGTCTGCACTGACACACAGGTTTTTGTACCAAGTGCTACTTTCCACCCATTGTTTGCCATATCTACGAAAATCATCTTAGTGGTCTGATGATCCTATCGTAGGCTGCCTCACTGATGTTCTGAGCTGAGGACTGAAGCAGACGTAATGCAATTAGCCCTTCCAACTACTGTGACTTGCAACGAGGAAAGTTCAGATGCTTCTCTGTTTGTACTTCTCTGGCTAAGTAAGAGTGCTCTCTGGCTGCTCTGATACAGCATTATTGTGCAAGATCCTTCAGTCTGAGTCGTGCAGATGTTACAGGAAGTCAAATTAGTTTCTACAGACTTTACAGTTAGTCTGTGCATTCTCTTAAAAGTAGCACAGATCTTTTAGTATCTTCATAATATTTCCTTCTTCAGTAGCTCACAAAATATGAAAACATATGAAGTTAAAAATTAGGAAGCCCATATCTCTCACAGGAATAGAAGCAGCAATTCATCCTTCAGATTAAACTAGTCAGGCTTGATTTTTGAGATTGAAATCGCTTTGCACGCACGTCCAATGTATTTTGTGCTTATTGTAAACACGTGTTGCAGTGTTTGTGCACAGAACTTCATGCATCTGTTAATGTACACACAAACATTTGCACAGATTGCCTCTGAAACGAAGGCTCAAAACAGCTGTAGTTTTTTGAAGTGTCACAAGGGCCCATTTTCTTTGCCTGACTTGACTACCCTCTTTCTGCTTACAAGGCAGAAAACTGATTTCACTGCTTTGTTCTTCTGGAAAGAGTGGTGGGATTTACCCCTTCTCCTATAGGAACTGAAGTGGGCAGGGCTTAATCCCATCTCAGTGACAGGTTCCTGAGTGGCGTTCTAGGTAACATGTTCCATATACATGCTTAGCTTCCTCCCTCTGCTGTCCCCCTGTGTTTCCATTCTTTCACACTGCCTGGCTTTTAGTGAGCTGGATTTAGAGCTCAGATCAAGAAATGATATCAAGAAGCACTCCCTACATTTGATGACCCCCCAGTCAGAAGTTTCATCATTTGATCTGATGGAGAAAAAAGCTATCAGAGGAAAGGAGGCACAGAGAGCCTCTTCTCTTCTTGACTTTGCAATGTTGTTTGTTTTTTTTTTCCTTTCTAGCCTCAGAGATAATATTATTTTGAAGTGTGTGGTGGTTAATAGTGAAGTCAGCAACTGGTCCTTCTCTCATTGAGATCCTTTCATTGTGAAAGGAAATGCTCACAGCTTGAAGAAAAAGAGCATTTTCCTTCCCTCCCTGTTGCCTCAATCTCACATTATTTAAAAATATGGTACTGCTGTTAGTTGAGACCAGAAAGAATTCCCCTGTTGTCCTGTAGTAGCCAACCACCACAAGCTTGAGTGTTTGAATGTTAGTATTAAAAATTTTAACCCTTACCTTCTTAAATGAGCAAGTAATACTCTGTATATTTTTTGTAAGTATGGAAAATTATGGGAATTCTTCAGAGAATAGTGTATAGACCACTGCGCCAGTCAGTCTCTTCAGAAAAAAAATGAGGAACATGCTCCTGTCTGCAAGAGAGATTCCTGGCATTTGTCACAGTTTGAGCCACAAAGATGTCAAATATTTGCCAACAGTTTCTCAGACAGTTTGGAAAGCTGCATCCTTTATGTTTCAGTCTTGTTTGTTTGTGATATATTTTAGCATATGAAATATGTTCACTGGGAGTCTGAAAAGGGAGTGAACTGACTAGACCCAAGTATTAAAAAATTAAAAATAATTCTCTTCTTTGCTCTTTCTTTTAGACTGCTCAGATCAGAATAATAAAGAACATCTGCAAGTCTTAGTATTAGAAATGAAGCTTAATGTTGAATAATTGTATCTTGATGTGTCACATTTCAAACCTGTGTTTTCTTTTGGAACAGAAAGAAGTTTCCAATGGGACATCTGAATATTTTTCTGAATCTGCTGAAAACAGAAAGCTTCAGCTTAGTCTGAACGAACAGATAAAGCAAGATATCTTGAAGGAAATGTATGTCTCTTTGTTTCTAAGTTGTTATATTTAGAACCTGATAGAATTTGTGTTAATAGAATCTAGTCTATGTAGTAGAATGTCAAATAATATGAACTTCTCTTTAAAAGATTATTCAACATCATTAGGGCTGTCGCTCTGCTGTGAATAAAGGACGTAAAATCATCCTTCTTATTCTGTACGACATAAAAAAATGAAAGCTGTTATAACCCATATAGATATCTCCTGTAGCACAAGGCAGAACCAAAACAGGGTGTCTTTTTCTTGAAAGAAGCTCTGAGCCAAAATAAATAAGTGCTGTTTGAGTCTGGTGAAAAACACTTGCAAATATGTATTTCATTTGTTTGGAGAATCTGCAGTGGTTGTGTGATAGTCTGGATATTTTGCCACAGCTGAAGAGTGCCCTGCACAGCTCTGGCCTGTAGTAGATGAGGTCTTTGGTTGGTCAGCAGAGCGTGTTGCCTGCTGTACCAGGGTGCTATTTTTATTTGCACCAACTGCCAGAATTTCCACATATTTAGTATATCAACCGTGGACTTGGGGATTTGCTGTGAAGTCTGGCAAACTTCAATTTTAACGCATGTTGTCTTGTTTTGGAAGGGAGATTAGATTTGGAGGATGCCAGTTCTACCTATTCTGTAGGAACCACTTTTCGAAGGAGTTAAATATCAATCTGGGAACTGCTTGGTGCCAGCAGACCAGCAGAAGGCAGTGCCAATATGGGGTGTTCTATAGCAATTTAGACTGAAAACTTTAAGTAGGCAGCTTCAGTACTCGTGCACAAAGTTCATTTCGCAATCTGTGTGAAGTTTGGATTGGTAGGTGAGGCACTCTGCCGAGGAGTGTGTATGAACTGATGCTCTGTCATGTCCCTTGTGATTGATTCCCTTTTCCTGTATAATTCCTTTCAGAATATCATCTGCGTGCATTACCTAAGTCCTTCCCAGATGAGCAGGCTTGATATTAGATGAGTGGTGGTTAGCTTTAAAGTAGTGCTTTGAAATGTCCTGGGAAAAATTCCAGAGGAATGTTTCTAAACTAGAGATTAGAAAGTCACACAGGCGCACACACTGCTTCTCCAGCCTGCCCCCCTCTATTCTTAGATATACATTATGCATATGGATATCTGGGAATGGTTTGGAATCATTTAGGCACTTATGACATACTATTTTATCTAGCCGGTTTGGGAAGGAATTCAATATACTTATGTTGTGTTGACCTTTAACACTTGTAATGAATCCAGTTCTGCCTCTTGGAATAGAATGTGAACTCCTTAGTGGCTTAGTCATTAATAAGTAGGGTTCCCCTAGTGCAGTGGAAAATCAGATGGATAATACTTGATATTATTCACACTAGGCAAACATTACTGCTTGTCAAGATGATATACGGGGATTTTTTTTCCACATTCAAAAAGAGAGTTGCCCTGGTGGTCTTTCAGATTTTGTAAGAAGGGCAGATTGAGACAGCAAACATTTCTTTTTATTAAAAACAATATCCCTTTTTATTGCAGTGTGAAAAGGACAAAAAAGGGGAAAAATAGTGTGAGCAAACCTCAAACCAACAAGGACTCCAAGAAAGTGGATCTTGGCTCAGTGGGCTTACAGACAGGGAACAGAAAGAATGACTGTCAAACTTCTCCCAGTCCTCAATCAGAAGCGAAATGGAGGAGCACAGGATGGCTAAAGAACTGCATAAATACAGCTGAGAGCAACTTGGAGTTTCCTGTTTCAGAGCTGGAAAATAATGTTAATCAGAGACAGGCAGAGGATGCTAGCAGCCAGCAAAAACCTCATTCTGTGGAGCGGTTGAAGTCAAGACTTCTAAGCAAAAATTCTCCTTGTAGCTATGAGTCAGCACTGCTAGGCCCAAAACAAAATCAAAAAATATCTGAAACACAGTCTCAACAAAAGAGTTGTAGTTCTGAAGAAAAGTTAAACCATTTCAAAGAAATATCCTCTGAAGAGACTCCTTTTATTCCTGGCAACACAGAAAGGAGTAAGTGCAGTGATGATCACCTAGGTCTGTTCTTGGAGGAGAAGACCCCACTTAATTCCAGGTTGTTTTCTAAACAAGACTTTAAAAAAATTGCATCTGATGAAAACTTACATACTTTTGGAACAAAACAATCCCAGCCTCTTTCTATGAGGACAAACCAAAATGAGCCAGACACAACCACTGAAGAATTACCTGTAGTGCCTTCAGCATCCTGTTTAGAAATGCAGACTGTGTCTTCAAAGAAGCTGATCCAAAAAAGGAAAAAAGAAGGTGAAGATGGTCTCAGGAAGTTAAAACTACGAAGGCTTAAGAAACCATAAAGTCTGAAATATCACCATGGTAGTGTGGGCAGACAGCCAGATTTGTGCTTGGAAAGCATATACAAAAAGTAGGAAGCCATTAAATTTAAAAAAATTTATTTTTTAAAAAAGTCAAAATTAGATAAAATTTTAAATAACCAGTTAACGAGGCATCTTAGCTATTTGGAACTGTAATGAAGATAATTATATCTTTTCGTATTAGATGCATACATATGGTACAAACCAAGTGTAATATTTAGAGAAAGAAAAATCTCCTATAACATAATATTTACTAAGCAAAATCTCAGACCAGTGATTGTTTTGATACTATTAAGAAGTCCTGACAGCTGATGACAGTATGAGCTCAAATCACTATTGTAATCCCTCAACAGCTACAGTTATCTTTTTTTTTTCCTTGTTTCTAAGCACACAGTTTGTTTTGGTCAAAATTAATCCTTTTCCATGTTAGGAAGTTTCTGGTTTATTCATATGATGTTTACAAGAGTAAGGCAAGTTGAGATTATTTCAGATACATCTTTAGCTGGATTTTAATATTGCTGGTAATTGAAGGGCTGCATTTTCAGTTGGCTTTCCCTTGCTTGTGCTTGGGCAGTTTTCACATGAATACCTATTTCTAAACTGAGCTGTGGATACAAGTGATCATGCATTCGCTACCTGTAAAAATGTAACACAAACATGCACTCAGGTTTCAAAATCAACCCTTGTTTGTGTGTGAGGTCACCACGCGGCGCTTTTGAGGTGTTAGCAATTGGAATTTTTTAAGATAGAGATAATTTTTAACTGTTCAAGGCTTTTTGGTACTCTTTTTGTAACTTGTATGCTAATGTGCTATGGAAATGTAACTTCCTATTGCATGTTTATATTTTTAAATGGTTAAAATAAAACGGCAAGCAATTTCCTTTTGACCCTTCTCTCAAGATCAATGTAAGCACAGACATTTTATGTGAAGAAAATATTGCAAAATTCTTACTTACACACGCTTATGTTGTGAGTAGACTCATCTAGATTCATGGGGAGATCCACATCCATGGCACTAGAGGTGGTGTGTAGTATAGGTTAGAGTCAATAACTCAGCAGCTGTCAGCAAAGCACTGATAGTTGAACAGCATCATTGCTGCTATAAAAAACTTCTGCTTTTACTATAAAGGAAAAGGATTCTGCATGCATGCTAGAATACATGAATACATGTTCTTTTTTTGTCTTTCAGCCTGTTTACGTGTTACAGTGCTTTGCAGTAAGGTTGCTAATGCTTGCCAATCTTCAGGCTCTGCAGAAAGGTCTTTCCTAGTAGCAAGCAAAAGGAAGGCTGTAAATGAAACTGGGTTTGGAATAACAGCCTGAGGTATGTTTACTGCTCTTTTGTTTTGAGATATAAAGAGTATAAGGACATCTAGTTAAGTTTCAGAGAAATGAAAGTAAGTAAAACAGAATTGCTTGATTATTTATATTAAGGTTTCAGCCATTTTCTAGATGGCTTATTTAAGTCCTAACAGTGAATAATCTGACAACAAATGGTACAAGCATATATTCTAGTCTGCAGTTTTACATTTCCTTTATTTCTACTGTGCTTTTTATCTGGATGCTTTTGAATTTTCCATTATATTCTTGGTTGCAACAGGTAACTGTAGGAGATGAACTATTAGAAGATTATTATGTAAGAACAGGCACATGTTGAGTTGGCAAATTTACTTTAGGTTTTTTGTTTATTTGTTTTTGATATTTGGTTTTTTTTTGTTTTGTTCTGCTTAGCAAAGGGGCGTTATGATGGCTTTCCCAAAGTGGCAAACACACAGATTGTTTCTGTGAGAACTGTGGGCAGGCTGGAGCAAGTAAGCCCCAAACTACTACTAATAGCTTCAGAGTCAGAAGCCTCTTGCACTTCTCTTATTCAAAAGAACATAATTCAAGTATTAGAATCAAGTATGATGTGAGATACACTTCACCATGTGTATCTTATATCAGTGAATATTACTATTCTTACTAGTTTGGCCTTATAATTACAGATTAGTTTTACTTGTAACTGAGTAACATATCTGCATCCACCCTTAAAAATGACTCTCATACGTTTGTAAGGGCAGATAAAATTATTGCTTTTTCTGCAGCTGAGTACTTGATTTTGCTTTTAGGATATTTTGTTTTGTTACTTAGAGTGCTGTCTCCCATAACCTTATTGATAACATGAGAACATCTGTTTAAAATAGTGATCTTGTAAAATTAACAAATGTAGGGATAGATTGTTTAAAAATGTTTGAGCTTACAGGCTCAGAACAATTACAGTGAACTTTACAGTGAACTGTAATTGGTAGTTTGTTAGGTCCCTAGGCTTGTTTCTGAGACCCACTGCTTTCTGGCTGTGTATTTAGCAGTTAATTTGAAAAGCTGTCTCTTGGATCCTTTCAGAAATGCAGGGGATTTTAGGGAAAAAGTTTCAGTATCATCATTTCTGGATTTTAGATGGTGCTACCACTCGGAATTGTTCTTTCTTCTCCTCTGTGCATTAAGACTACTATAAAAGTTTACTTTTTGCAAATGCTGTGGAGAATTTAATGTGATACCTGAAATGTGTTGTTAGCATATGCTTGTGTTACCTGTCTGCTTTCACCCCGAGGTTCTTCTCCTGAGCCTTGGGGTTTTTCTTTATCTGCAGTCCACCTGCATCCAGATGACTGACAGATGTGTGTGGTCTGGCATGCTCTAGAAATGCTAACCTGGTTTCCAAGTCACGGTTAGGATCAGTAGAAAAAAGAATGCCTGCTGGAAACTGAGCCCCAGTAATGGAAAATGAACAGCTTTCAAGTCTTGGCCCAGGCTTGCTATTACAAATTTGCTACACAGCAGAGTTAGCATACCTTTTTATTAAAGATATTAAATATTTAAGGCTCTATTCTATTCTGAAGTCTCCATTGAAGCACAGAAATAACGTCTTCATTTTTTTCTTCTGGGTTTGTTTTTTACGTTTGTTTTTTCTTCAATGCTTCTTTGAACTTCTCTGAAATATGTGTAGGTCTGAGCAGCTGACTGGCTACAGCCCACAGTCTGCTTAATTTGGTCTGTGCTGTTTGCTGATAGCGAAGCAGTCCTTTCCCAGCCAAACTAATGTGCCCAGACCATCATTTCCAGTATGTGTTACAAAGAAGCAGTTAAAATATTTGTGTAGTGAACCTGTGTATTTAAACGTACATCAAAGGCTAGGCCAGCCTTTTACATATTTATGTATTAAAAGAAAGCAGCTGATGTAAAATATCCTTTGCCCAGCGCTGATCCGTAGGGAAGTTTTCAGCTAGTAGAACACTTCTATTTGGGTGATAGGCCCTGTGCTAGTTCTGATGATTGTCAAATTGTAGTTCTGCATACCAGGTTCTACAGCTCATACAAGCATGTCACTACCACTGCACTGTCGCATTTCAGTGTAACGCTTGACTTGAAGAATATCAAGAACACTTGTTTCTAACAAAAAAGGAGAATTTTAAGAACAAAACCTTTCTTTACTACAAAATATTTTGTCTCAGTGAAGTGTTAGATAAACTTGCTGGAACATTTATTTTTTCAGTCTGAATTTCCTTCCCTCTCACAACTCTGCATGTGGGTCACATTCTTTGGGTTTTAATTGGCATTTTTACATCATCATCTCATTGGCTTTCGAAGGGAAAGTTGATCTTTTTTAAAGGAAAAATATAGAGGAAATAACTTTTTGTTTGCATTGAAAAGCAGTTGAAATAAGAATGATGTAAAATGTAACTAGAATATCCATGTTGTTCATGTTAACAGTAGATATCTTGTTGTCTGTATCAGTACCTAATAAAATGTCTCCTGCTGTATTAAAGCGCTCCAATGCAAGCTTGAGCAAACACAGTTAATAGTATCAAGAGTCTTTGAGCAGCAGTGGAAAATGTGGCTTGGCCTCAGAAATTAGGTTTAATAAAGGCACTCCTCACTTTGCATTCTGCTTTTTTCTTCTCTGATAATCATTAAATAGTATCCAGAAAACTGTACGAAGGAAAGATTGGGCAATGGGGAAACAGCAGCACATCGAGCCTTTCATCAAAGGGATATCAGGGTGTTCTGCTGCTGAACCTGAGAGGAGTATGAATATGCTTATTTTGATGGTTGAGAGCAAGCAGTTTCTTCATGGTAATGCATGTTGGTTAAAGAGCTCATGCAAAGTCTTTCATCAACTTGTTCATCTGTTTCTTAACACAGTTCTCCCTTCTTGCTCACTTCTTTATTCCACATAACTTCCTGGAACCTGGTAGTGTGTGACCTTGTCTCTTCCACAGTGGCAAGAAGGTGACATTTTTAGATTGGGACTTTTTGTTCAACATTGGCTTATGCTAAGAATTTGTATAATAGTTGTGAAAATGATGTTGTGCCCTAGAGCATTTCAGCTATAACCTGGAATTTGTCCAGGGAAGTAGCCTCCAACATCCTAACTCCTTTACCACGTTTCAGTTATTCCAGAGTCAGGAATTCGTTGCTGTGAGAGGTAGCAACGTCCTTTTTGTGAATGAGAAATTCACTGATTTGCTCATATGTTGCCAGATACATCCTTTAGTAGAGCTGAGACAACCCCTTCAGTTACTACCTCAGCAACAAGAATTGGTAATCTAGCTCTGGAACTGCTTTATTTTCTGCCAGAATAATTGTCTTTTTGATTATGCACCAAATCTTTAAGGAAAAGAGTCTAGAGCTATAATTTGAGAGATGTGCATGCCCCTTTTTAATATTCATGTGATCTCATAACGCTAGAATGAAAAGAATAGAAGTTTATTCCTCCACCCTGTAGAGAAACTGGTTGGAACAATTTGCACATCACAGAGAAGGAGCTGGCTGGAAGCTGTGGGCTGCAACTCTGGTCTGACGCCTGCCTGATACCGCAGCGCTCCGCGGCTGCCCCAGTGCTCGGTGAGCCATCTGCCAACCATCCGATGGCCAACAGACTGCTCACAACCTTCAACTCTTTTCTCCTCCACGTCCCAGAATTGGAATTAATCACATTCAGCACAGACATTTTTCTGTTTGGTTTTGTATTCCCAAACCAAGGGGAAAAATGGCTAGCCTTTAAAAACAGACTCTGTAAACAGTAATCATAATGACCACTGGTGTTACTACTGCAAAAGGAGAAGCTGAAAAATTCTTGAATATCAAGCATCTGTTAGTATCTTGCTTCTTTTAGAAAGGGAGGAGGAGCTTATGCAATCACTTCCATCATCTGGGGAGGAAAAGGCTGAATTTGGTACTTCCCTTGTCAGAACTTCTCATCTTCTTTGCAGACACAAATATAAAAATTGCCTTTGCCTTGTGACTTGTTCCGGGGGAACCCTGCAAAGCCAAAGGGCTGCAATCCAAGCTAGAGGATGAAGGCTGGAGCAGGCACGCTGGGGATAGCAGATGACAAGCTGCATCATCCAGTCTTCAAGGAGCAAAGGAGAAAGTAACCATGTACATTTTCTAGCTTGCCAGGGAGCTGATTAATAATATTAACTCTTGCCATGGAGAAGTGTCCATTGGTGCAAGAACAAGTATTGCTACTATAAAGAGAAAAATATTTTCATCTGTGAAGATAGCTGGAGGATTGCTAGTTTCATATTTATGCCCTGAGCTGGTTTGTATTACTTAGATGCTGGGCTTCAGATATACAAGAGCTGTCTGGCTGTCATTTGCTTGTATTAACAACACAGAAATAGCCGTTCCCAAGGCTATCTTTCACCCAGTGACATGAATTTATTGTCAGGCTGATGTAATATGCATCGTCAGCAGCTTTTTTGCTACTCACCTCCATGTAAGGTGGGCCCTTTCCATGTGGAGGTGCAGTGACTTTGATGTGGCTGTGTTCAGTTCACGTTGAACCAAACCCAGATTTGATGGGCTCAGTTAACCATAGGAATAGCAGAACTGTGGGAGCAAAGAGGAGCAACTTATGAACTTTAAAAATATGTTTAAATGGCAGCTCAAGAAGCACACATTTTTCATTCTTAGATAAATAGGAATCCAAACACACTTGCAGCAGGAGGCTTCTCATGACTAAACAGAACGCGTCTTCCCAAAGTAGTAAACCATGAATGAACAGTTTCCATAAATGTAAACATGCCTTGATATTCTAATGGAAAAGCCTTAAATGTTTGTATTTCTATTTATTTTCATCCCAATAGAAAACATTTTGTATATCAACCCTCCACTGGGGGGTAGTTCTGGGCTTTGGAAGACTGCTTTTTTTTTTGTAAATTCTCCAGTGTAAAGTAAGCTTGAAGCTACCACTGAGATACAAGGATATAATGTAACTTTTACCTCTCTGATTTTGTGAGGCCATCAGGTTATGATGAGTTACACAGGAAATCAACGCCGTAACAAAACCTCTGCATGGTCAACACAGGGCTTTGTTGCCACGGAAAAAATATATAAAAATAAATTAATACTATGCTCAACATTTTGCTTTATGCTGTCTTTGGAGATCTAAATAGCATTGGCACTGTGTTAGATGATTAAGTCTAATTAGAATTTGCCTCAGCAGGCTTTGAAGTAGCATGTCACAAACACGTTCCCATGACTAGCAGAAATCCTGGTGTTCTGTTTTGTTGGGTTTTTTTTGTTTTTTTTTTAATTTTGCTTAGTAGAAGGCTGTCTCGAATTTGAAGGAATAAGCCCAAGTGTAAATGTTTCTGTGATTTATAAGCAGTAGATGGTTTTGCACTGTTGAAGTTGAGACCTCTGTGAAGTGTAGACTAGAGGAAGGTTGTTAATTCAATGTTATAGTACAGAAAACAAGTCAGTTGATAGCCTCACTGTGCCTCTAAGCCAGGTGGAGGATTCCATTAAGTGGCTTTTTTAGATGCAACTTCTTTGCTTTATTGCAGATTGTAGAAATTTAGGAACAAAGGAAAAAGAATACTTATGGGATTTGTTTAGGTATTGTTGAAGTGGATAGATGAAGGTAATCTTGTCAATTTTTCCTTCAGCAAGCAGTAAACTGGTGATTCCCTGGTACTTCAGCTACATGACATGCAACTGTGAACAGTTAGAGCAGTAACCCTTTCAAGGTATTATGTAGCAACAAGTTAGAATCTCATCTTAAAATAAGCTTGAAAAAAAAAGTAACACTAAAGAATGAGATTTTACCTTTTTTTTTTTTTTTTTTTTCTCCAAATGGTGATAAAGACAGTACAGAACAGTAGGTCTTGTGCTCAGATTATTTTCAAGTGTTTGTATTATAACAATCTTTATATAAGCTATCTGCATTTATTACAAACAAATATGAAAGAAAAAGCCTATTGTTTTTCAACTCTTGCATGGAGTGGCTTAAGATGAAGTACAAGAAGGAACATGAACCTCTTTCATATTATTTGTCAGCTGAATTTGTTATTTACTTAATGTTTCTGTCAGCTTTAGCAAAGCAAAGTCACAGCTTCATTGGGAAATGTGCTAAAATGAAGAGCAGGGTATCATTCAACTGACCAGTACTTCCACACCCAGCCCCTCAAAGCCAGGAGGGGCTGCATTAGTTAAGCACTGAGCCATTTCAGAGTATTCTGAGAGTTTATTTTATGCTTTACAAAGCATTTTTTTGCCCATTAGGCATCAGTATAATCTATGGCTCCTTTCCCATCCAGGTCAGCAGTTTGTATCTTGCCTAGCTACTTAGATTTGGTTACCAGCTGGTTCATTGGCCCATGCAAAATAAACTAGTTGCACAATTCCAGTCACATTATCATTCTCTTTTCAAAAGGACACAGAGGTACATTAGCCAAAAGACATCAAGAACAAGGGACAGGTTGCTTTTGAACCCCTTCAATTTGAATGAAAGCCAGACAGAAACGCGTAATCATCCAACAAAAAGCTCGACTTCACCAAAATCAGCATCAGGTCTCAGAAATGTAAGCCATCACTTGCCACTGCTTGAGCACAACTAACCAGGTGGGAGCGCTTCCAAGCTCAATAATCTCCACGCTGTTTTATGTTTTCATACAAAAAATTTAATAAATATTACTTTTCAAGATTTATTGCCAGGAACAACACATCAAAGATGCATTTTCATATAACACTAATATCACAATACAAGGTATCTTCATGATCTCAATGGTTAACCACTGAGATTAGTATGTTTATAAGCCTTTTGATCTTAAACATTGTAATAGCACTTTGATTTCCTCACTTGTTAAGGCGGGCAGTGTAATCTATGGCAAACCTACACAGTGATCTTACTGGACATTCTACTGTTCAAGTATTCAACAACTAGCTTATTAGAATACTCCCTAAATGCAGTAGATTACAAAAAATTCAAATCTACAAGTGGTTCAGTATTACATATTCATGGTGAGAAAAAAAAAAATCAGAATTTACAAAATAAGATTGCTGTGTTTCCAACTTCACACGCTAATTTGATATTTTAATTACATGCAACCACTCACATTTCATCTACATAAAGTAATAGCTCAGTTTTGTTCCCTTAAACTGCTTCTTAGCAGATTATCTGCCTGTCACTCGGTTTCAAGTCTAAAGCAGCAAAAAAAATTTTCTAGTCTAATTAACTAAACTGCCTCAGTCAGTACTTACAAATAGTCTTAAAGTGATACTATGGAAGGTGTTTCAAACATTTGACATTGTACAAAAACCAGCATCAAGGCATGAAAGCCCGTCCTATTAAAAATAAACTATTTTAGAACACCTTAATTTTGGCATATAGGCAACATGTAACAAGAAAATAAATTCAAAATGAAGAAGCCACAAGCTTACAATGCTATCAAAAACCTTCAACTCTAAACACATACATATAAATAAAAAGGAATGATATTTTAAGGCTCTTGATTATTAAGTTAATAAATCAAATATACACAGTGATTAATAAAAAAGAATTATTTACATATCTATACAAACTTCTATTTTTGACACATTTTCCTCTTTAAATTCTTCATTTACCAGCAACTGCTGACAAGTTCCCCCCACCCTCCCCCAACAAAAATACAATAAAAAAATAAATAATAAACTTATTTTTGATAGTTGCTGTGGTTCCGAGCTGCAAAGGCACTTTCAAATACAGAACTAGTTGTACGTCACCATAAAACCAATATACAAAAAACTCAGATTCAATAAATATAAATAAAATGCATTATTCTAAAGAAACGGTATAAATTGGGACATCTGGCAGAAAAAAAATGAACGCTAAGGAAGAGTAATAAGGCTCTGTAATACCTTATGAAACATTTCCATGATGCATCAGCTACAGCTGAATTTACATTAGGGCACTTTTGACTAGTTTTGCATAGATGTGAAATGCAGCACTTGGTATTCCAGCCAACCACAGCAACTATCATTGCCAGTGTAAGCCAGCTTGTCAAAACTTAAATTAACAGAGGGACTCTAAGTAAATAATAGCCTTAGACTCAAATATTACACAACAGTTTAAGAACTACAAGCTCTTGAGTGCCTTTATAATGATATTTAAAGGCCCTGCACGGCAGCACCCAACTGTCTGCTATACAATGTACTCCATTCTATTTAAACTTTGTGCACTTTCCAAGTCTCTGTTGTCCTGTTTATTTGTCCAGTTTGGGTGTTTTGTGGGTGTGCTGTTGGGTGGCTTTTCATCTCTGTCTACCAAAGTATATGCTGGCTGCTTGGCAAACCGGGCCTTTTGCTGGTGTTTGTCCATGTCATCTTCCTCCACTTCTGAATTGTGCGTCCTTATTTTGGCGATTTTAGAGTTTTTGTTTTCATAGTCTTTAATTGGAACAGTATTTGCTCCGTGTTTCTCTATGGGGTTTTTTATTTGATTCAGCTGCTCCCTTACGTTGTTGGTGGTGTTGTCATCAGATGCTGTGTGAGTATGGCTGCTCTGCTTTCTGCGCTTTTGAATGCACCAATAGAAAACAGTTACCAGGCAACAGATCCAGGCTACTGTTAAGACTGAGCTCAGTAATGGCACCAAGAAATCTGGAAGAGAGAGGAGACCAGTTAACCCTGCTACAAACAAAGTGTTCCAGTCAGTGCTTTCCACAAAGGGTAATCTCAGCTTTTAAGCCTCGTTTATGCACTGGTCTCAATAATGTGAGGATAATCATAGCTCTTTTAGAATACAGGATGTTTTAAGTGAGTTTAGTATTCTAACTACTAGCTAACAGCCCCCTCATGGAAGACTTAATTCTTGTCATCACAGGCACCAGTACTGCAGGCTGCATTACACTGCCTTGCCAGGTCTCTCTTTGCCTGGGAGCAATTGGTTACATGCCCACCAAAGTCATTTCCCTCTCCACTTGTGGCTGGCCATAAGATGCCCGTGCATTCCTGGTGCTATGCAGAAAGCCAATTGGACACTTTTGACCTTAATATTTAATTCATTGCATCTGGACAATGGTGTCACCACATAAACTACATGAGAGCTCTCAGAACTAGCTAGCTCTCTTCCTTGCTTCTACGTGGAAAGGAGCAGCCCTTTTAAGAGGGTAGGTCACTTGCCTAGAGCATTTGCAGAACACTTTATGTTATTATTCAAAATAGCAAGATCCTGGTGCAAAATTCTGTTGTTCCCAGTTACAGGGCCAGCAGGCAGAGATTCTCACAGTTGCTATAGATTCAAAAGTAAGAAAAGCTTCACCTGCTTTGAAAGTCTTTGCTAGTCATAAAAAGCATGCAAGTCATTTGGAGGCAGGGAAAAAACGTACCTGTTTTGTTTTTAACCGGTCGTCTTTGTACTCTGACTTCTGCAACTGCAGCAATTAGTGTGTTGTTTCCATCACGCTTACTGACAAGGTCGATAATCTTATCTGTGATTTCTTTGATTGGGTTTTCATCTTCCCCTATATCTTCAGCAGACTAAAGAAGTCACACAATTAATACCAGATGCCAGATCAGATGTAATCTGTTATCTATAAACTTTCACAATCAGCTAAGGCTCTTAGTACTTTTCATACTTCAAAAAAACAAAACAAAACAACCCCCAAAAAAACCACCAACAAGAAAAACTAAACCAAACCAAACTAAAAAACAGGAATAAAACAAAAATCCCAATTACAGGAAGAAAATAATATTGCAGAACTTCAGTCCCCGTTATCTTTAACATGAACAAAGCAAAACAAACAGTGCTCAAGAGACTATAATAGAAAATGGTTTACTGCCTTATTACAGTTGCTGCCAGATGATAGCTTTCAGATATGCACATGTAACCTAGGTTTCTTCCCTGTCCTTAAAAGAGAGCTGGGATGAAAACTAAACCATGAGAAGTGCTGACAAAGCCATGAATTACGATTTTTATGAAATCCACATGTTGCACATTTATCCAGGCAATTAACTACTAAGACATTTAGAAATATTCCAGGAATACTTACAATAGCAACATGTATTTCATTATTTGCCAAGTGTGAAGGCTCACAGGTAATATAGATGGAATATTCAACAGAAACATTCTTCAGGATATTCAGATTCCTCAATTCGCTGCAAATGTGCTCCGTGGTAAGGCCCTGCAAGAGATGAAGAAAAGCTTTTTGTTTTTTAAATATATATATGCACATAAATACACACAAAAAGTATTTATAGAAATATATGTATTATGTTTATGCATTTGTATTTATGTGTATATAGATCATATATATGATTTAGATATATGTGTTTTCTTATACAAATTTTAAGCATATGTTTTTATTTTATATATACATATATTAAATGCATTTATAGAATATAATTATATATAATAAAATACATACATACACACTCTTACACCTAGGCAGAAGGGAGAGTTTGCCCTTAAATAAAAGTTCTAAAACAGGGGGATGGGGAGTGTAAAATTCCCTCCAAACCAGCTTTTATTCCTGTCTGGACACAAAAACATGTAGGGTTGAAATGTGTATCAACCTTCCATATTTTCTGGGGTTTTTTTTGTAATGAAGGAGCATCAGCTTTTTCTGTACTTTTACAGTATGGTTAAGTATGTTGTTTCATGCTCAGAGACACAAGTATCTGAGTACCACAGCATATTAAGTTACGTTCTGCTACTTACTGGTGCCATCATTTCCTTATTAAAGGTGAAGGTGATGTTGGCACAGTTATCTTGGTAATAAGAATCAGAATTGCATTTGGTCTTCACAGGTTGTTGATTAGAAGGCCAGCATTCACCCACTGCAGTACAAGGGTGAGTGAAACAATGGTCTTCCTTAACGGGAACACAAGCATGTCCAGCTGGGCATTCGTTATGACCTTTGGCGTGTATTACACAAGGCCGAGGACCACACCAAACCTAGAAGAGAACAAATACCACTATTAGGTAACCACTGGCT